TCTCTCTCTCTCTCTCTCTCTCTCTCTCTCACACACACACACACACACATACACACAAATCGTCAATCCGAGTTAAGGCCCGGGGTACTTGAGGGATCAGAATTTCAACTTTCAGAACACATAGATGCTTCAAATCATCAAGGCCACTCCTAAGAATAAACCCTTTAGATCCATAATAAACAATAATAATAATAATAATAATAATAATAATAATAATAATAATAATAAGGTCAATCCAAACCGTGGATATCAACGAGGTCATAAAAAGGAAAACTGTCAGCACTAGTTCCAGGCAACAATTCATTGTCTACAAAATAGATAATGGAAATCAACGGTGTAAATCAAAAACAAAAGCGACCTCGACAGAGGCCGCACATCATCCCTTGCGCGACGCCTCCAGATCTTTCGTACTGCTACAGTCTTCACCCGAATAGAACGCCCAGTCATCATCGCTTCACCCAGACTGAAAGTTGCCCCAAATACACCGATAACGACCGGGCGTTGTATTCGGGTGAAGACGGCAGATAAGAAAGGAAAGCCCCCCCCCATAGCTAAGCTCCTTGGCATTGGACATGGAATGCACCAAGATCCGTGTGCATGCAGACCGACAAGCACAGAATCCAGGAGCTATAGTATAGTATAGCTAGCTCCATGTGTATAGCTAGCTCCATAGCAACTTATACCTTAGGAAAAGTTATGGCTGGGGGCCACATTTGCAATCTACTGTCTTCCCCCGAATAGAGCGCACGGTCATAGCAGCCGTATATGGATCACCTTTCAGTCCAGATGCAGCGACAATGACCGTACGTTATATTGCGGGTGAAGACGGTAGTGTGGAGGCGCTGCCGCGAGGAGGTTCATTTATATATAACCCTAAAACATCTTCGGCAGCACCCTGACGCTTGTGAGTCTTTACTCTCTGTCAGAGTAACGTCAGATCCAAAGGGAACAAACATCCCGATGCCTCGATACGATGCAGAAGGCAGCGGTTTTGTAACGGCCTCGCTCCACTACTCACCAAATGTACAAAATGAGAATGAATCTTACGCTAGAACATGGAAAGATACAGGATACAAAATGAGAATGAAAATCTTACGCTGGAACACGAGTCTTGTGCTTGTGGAGAGTAGTGGAGGGAGGGCCCCCTAAGTTCCTTCCCCTACAAACACGCACCAAGGGACGGGGAAATCTGACAATGACTCGCCTGTGTGACGATATCCTGGACCCGCAGGCGGTGGATGAAGCGGAGCGGAAGACAGCGGAGGCGGCGCTAGCTTGCGCGCGCACGCTGTGACAACCGAGGGACTCTTATCCTGGACCCGCAGGCGGTGGATGAAGCGGAGCGAAAGTTTTTCGCGGCCATGGTGAGGATACACTGCTCGACATTTACTCGAGCAGAGCAAGCTGTTGGCGTACGTGGCCTCGTGCCGAAGAAGGAATCTGGCTCCCCCTCCCCCCCCCCCTTCCCCCCCTCTCTTTTCTCTTGCCCGTCATTCCAGAGGAAACGGGTGTGCACGAGGACAAGTGAGCAGAACTTCCAGCTAGATCCCAGAGAGATCGAGAGGCAGATTCCTTCTTCGGCACGAGGCCACGTGTGCCACGGAGCTGCGCATGGGGCAGAACGGCAGGACGGACACGTGGAATGACGGGCAAGAGAAAAGAGAGAGCGGGGGGGAGGGGAAGAAGGACAGAAACGAGAAGAGGAAGTAGAGTAGTAGAGCTCGCAAGAAACGACGAGAAAGTAATCAAAAGAGGCAATCGGGCAAAAGTTGACGGGCAAACGATGGACAGGAGGAGGAGGGAAAGAGAGAGGAGGAAAGATAGACGGAGGAGGGAAGAGAAGGAGAGGAGCATCGGACGGTGTAAATGGCAGGGCTGGGCAAATTAGAAGAACACATGGCGGGAAAAAAAAAAAAAAAAAAAAAACAAGAAGAAGAAGAAGAATTGAATTGAATCCTGCGCTTCTCGTGCCGATCCCAAGAATCGAGCACACGCCCTTCCGATCAGGAGGCAAACACTCAACCAAACGGCTAAGTGGACAGGGGTCAAAGTTAACCCCCAAGATGAGCACTTAACCCCACCCCAGCACGGGTACTCGTTTTCAGCCAGTCACACACCCACCCAACACAGGCGTCGACGCAGCCACCACACAATGTACGACTTCACTGCAGGTTGCTACGCAGGTCAGAAGACGAAAATATGGCGAGTGATAGAAGAGGGGAAGGGAAACAGATGGCAAGAAGCAGACGCAGAAGGAGCAAGGAAGTACGTGAAGGTGGGGCGGAGGCGGGCGGGGAAGAGGAGGAGGTGGATGGGGGACAAAAGAAGGAGAGTTGGAGAGGAGAGACAGGAGGAAGAGGGATAGAAGAGAAGAAAACAACAGAAGTAGACAAACGCAGAGAATGCGAGAGAGAGAGGGGAAAAGAGAGAGAGAGAGAGAGAGAGAGAGAGAGAGGAAGAGAGAGAGAGAGAGAGAGAGAGGAAGATCGTTCTCGAACGA